TAAATATATAAAATTGTTAATTAACTTGTAAGTAGAAATGATAATTTCTGTGGTAATATTTATTTATTTTCAAAAATAAATAAATATTACCACAGAAAATCATCGGCACTGTTTGTAAGTAACTATTATAAAGTATCAAGCTAACTAATATTTTAAAACTCTAGATGAAGAGTAATTAAATGAAGATTTTGGTGATGAAGAGCTTGACAACGATATGGAAAGTCAATTTTCATCTGAAGTTATAATCACCAAGATTCGAGGAGTGATTTATAATTCTTTGTAGCACTACTAGCAAGATTCAGAAGATATTAAACTATTAGCCACCCTATTAGATCCTTGATTAAAATTAATGAATACATGGCCTAATACCTTACGGACTGAAACAATTAGTAAATTGCAAGCTGAATTTTAAGTTTGGAAAGAAACAAAAATAACTGACGATCCAGAAATCCATAAAGAAACCACTGCCTCTAGTTTTATGAAAAAAATCTTTAGTAGTAGTCATCAACAAGTAAATGACAAATCTGAGATCGATGAGTATTTAAATGAAAAGGTCTTATCTAAAACTGCTGTTGTTTATACTTGGTAGTATAAAAAACAGAATTCTTTTCCTATTTTAAGTAAAATAGCTCATAAATATTTATCAATTTCTGCTACCTCAGTTCCGAGTGAGCGACTTTTCTCTGATGCAGGGAACCAAATCACTTCGAAAAGAAGCTGAATGTCATCTGAGACAGTGAGCAAATTGTTGTTTATTAAGTGTAATAGCTTGTATTGTAGGATTTGGGACTAAATATAGACTAAATATATAATAAACTTATATAATAAACAATTTTTAATAAAATATCCAGAACAAGTAAAAGCAATTATTATAGTATTAAATCTAGATCTGTTGAGCACGGTTGTGGGGGTATACATAATCTAGGTGACCTGTTGGAGATGATACAGGTGATCTGCAATTGACCCATCGGGTGACTCGCAGTTGACCCATCGAGTAACCCGTAGTTGACTCTTCAAATAACCCATGGTTGACCCATCTGGGTAGTCATTATTTATACCCAGGTACCTGACCCACCCGTAGATGACCCAGGTGAAACTCACCCGGGTCAAAACACTACTATAGCGAGTATCTGAAGAGTAAAGACAGAGAGGTAGAGTTAACCAAGAGTGTAGCAAAGTCAAGCCTCAATAAACAGATTAAAAAAAAGCTAATAGAGTATAAGAGTAGGGTAGTCAATTATAGTATAGAAGAAGTCAATAGTAAAGAGTCACTATATATACCAATGACCAAGAGAAGTAATACAGGGTCAAATTTGAGTGTAGAAGACAAAAAGAAGCCTTCTAGCCAAGAATTAAAAAATGATATGACAGAAGAGCTGGTACAAGAGTTAGAAAAGATATTAATTGTTACACTTGTGTTAATGAGTACTAAAATTGTAGAAAATACACAAAGGCTTAGTAAAGGTAATAAACAGAAAAAAATACTAGTAAGGGCAGATATAAATAAAGTTAACCAGGCTGAGCTATTTATACTATGGGATATACCATTATATATGCAGTCGCAAGCAATAAAGAAATGTTTACACTTTTATAGCAAAATAAATATTTTAAAATAGAAGCTACAAGGAAAAAACAAGACAGTTTCTTTTATGATTAAATACCACAATACAAGACACAAGTTGGTCTTCCAAGCTGCATGGGCAGTACATTTTGTAGAAAGCAAAATAGTAAGAATAATACCTGGTACTTTTGCCAAAGAAATATTAGAGAGTATAACAAGATTCAAAGGAGCAGTTAAAAATATCCCAACATCAGCAATAGAAGTACTATTGTTAAGATAGCTAAAAGAAGTAGGTGCAAAAGTAGTTTATATCTCATATAATAATAACCAAAATTAAAAACATATAGTATCAGTATATTTTGAATCAAGAGAAGAGCTAGAGTTAGCTCAAAAAAGAGATACCTTTTACTATAACACAAAGCTTGAATAGCTAGATAAAAGTAATAAAAAGTAAAAGAGGCCTGAGAAGAAAAGAGACCAAGACCCGATGAAAGAGAGATGCCCTCTAGATGAAAGAGAAAACTCTAGAAAGCACACCCTTGGCTTAAACAAACTTGATAAGGGAGAAATAAATGAAGCAGTTAAAAATTACAAATGGATGCTCAAAATTGAAACTCAGTTTGAATTCAAAGAAGAAAGAAGAGCAAACAAGGAGAACCTAAAAGAGACAAGTAATAAAAGGTTGTTAAACAATGCAAGAGAGATCACAAAAAATGTGAGGAGCTCTAGTAATCAAGCGATCATTGAAAAACTTGGTAGTATATTAGAAGAAATTATGAAGAGGCTTGCTAAGATTGAGAAAAGACAACAGGGGATTATTACCTCAACTGCTCTTAAAAGTTGCCACAGGCATTGTAAAAAAGGAAAAAGGCTGCTCAACATCAAGTTATACAAGAGGGATCTAGCTTCAAAACAGCAAAGCTGATTCAAAATCAAGCCTTATAACACAGAAAAGGGATATTAGGTTAAATATAGCATGTCACAACATTAACAGGATTAAGAGAAATAAGACAAAGCTTAAAACAATAGATGAGTGGATACTAGAGAATGAAATTAATATACTAGGGCTGGTTGAAACAAATACAAATGAGAAAGAATTAAGATTTAGCAAGTTGAGTAATAGCAAAAAAGATTTTTAAACACAAAGTATGATCACAAAAAAGAAAGGTTTAGAGGTTGGGCTGATTGTAGATACAAAGTGGAAAAAGTATCTTGAACAAGTTGCAAGAGTAGAAAAATACATAATAGAAGCTAGATTCTATTTTAGACAAACTAAAATTTTAGTAATAGTAGTATATTTCTTGCCAAGTGATAAGAAGTTAAAGAAGATGCTCCAGAGAACAATTGTTACCAAGTATATAGAGAAATCTAGCAAAGCATACTTTATAGTAATGGGTAATTTCAATAGAGTAATAAACCTATTGCTAGACAAGAGTGAAGGCAATAGACACACAGCATACAAGTTATTGCCACTCCACAAATAGTTTAGAAATCAGGATTTCATGGATATATTTAGAGCACTAAATCTATACGCAAGAATGTATATATGATCTGGCCAAGGTATCGAATTGCAAATAGACCAGATTTAGATATTAGAAGATCTGGTTTATGGTGCAACAAAAGCAGAGATCATAGAGGTGAAGGTTATAATGATGAGTGATTAAAGTATTATTATAGCTGATATCATATTAAAGCATCTTATAAAGATAAGAAGTTTGGCCAAAACAAGAAAAATCAGAGTAGTCAGAATGGTTTTCCTCTATAACAAAGTGACTAAAGAGAACCAGAATAATTATAAAGAACAGGTTGACAGTCTACTTCTAAACAGCAATGTAGTCAAGTATCCAAGATTTAAGAGCCCTGAACAATATATAAATAAGTTGTGGGATGCAATTACAAATGCAATTAAAAGAGTGGCAAACAAGACAATTCCAAAGAAGCGAGTATACAACCTTGGTTCCAAGACCAGATATAAAAGAAAAGGGACAAAAATACATAATGATGCTATGAAGCTAAGCAAAGTAATCCAGACATTTAAAAAGAAAAGTAGCATATATGAGGTTGATGAAGTAGAATAAAGAAAGTTAATAATGTAGTAGAATATATTAACAACATATATATGATGTCGTTAGATAAATTAAATAGCAATAGCATGTCATTGCAAGTATAGTTAATAGCAGCAAATCAGAGTTGAAAAGCAATGCATGTATTTAAGAGAGTAGCAGAGGACAGTAGTACTTATACTAAAATTAAAAAAGTAGTAAACAAAAGGTTTGAAAGAATAGATGGTAATATCAAGAGAATGTTAGCAAGCATATTAGAAAAATCCTACAAAAAGATTAACATTGACAGAGTTTTCAAGCAAACTAGTGATGAAAGAATATTATACAACAAGCCTGACAAAGTGTTAGAAAAGACCAAAAAACATTTCCAGAGTCAATTCAAAGAGAAAAATGTTGAACTCAAGGCAGAGATTATAAAAGAATTTTATAAACTATTAGATAAAGTAAGTGAGGAATGGTTTAGTCATTTGTCAAATAAAATATCAATTGACGAGTGGTCTATTGCTTTGAGTAAGGCTAGTAACAAAACAGCATCTGGGGTAACAGGAATAGGATATGCACTTGTTAAAAATATAAGCAGTAAAGTGCAAGAGATTTTTGTAAAGCTCACAAGCTTGTGCTTAGATAATGGTATAATTCCACAAAAATAGAAGCTAGTACAGATATATCTAATTTCAAAAAATGAAAACTAGGGATTTCAGCTAAACAATATTAGGCCAATTGCATTACTAGAAACCTTCAGAAAATATCTAACACATGTAGTCACATAGTGAATCACAAATATATTAGTAAAAAAAAAAGTGCTCAAAGGTCCGAACTTTGCCAGGCTGTCTGGCTACTCAACAAATAGTACAATTAACTTAGTTAACATGGTTATAGAAGATGCCAAAAAAAGTAAAAAAGAGCTATGGGTAATGCTACAAGATATGAAAAAGGCCTATGACTTAGTATTAATTAAAACACTCAAGCTTGCACTTACAAGAATAAAGCTACCTATTCAAGTTATTGATTTTATCACAGAGCTATTTAACAAAAGGTGGGTCAAAATAATTATGATATTTGGATTAACAGAAGAGTTTGAGGCAGGAGATGGTATAGAGCAGAAAGAAACAATCTTTCCACTAATATGAAGAATTTTTTACGACCTACTGCTATGCAGAATTCAAGATGACCCTGAGTTAGGATACAAGATAGAAGAGGAGAAGCTACTAGACATAAGAGAAAACAAAGTTAGAAAGGTGGTGATAAGACAAGCAGCAGTTGCTTTTGCCGATGACATGATATGGTTAGGGCAAATAAAAAGCAAATAGAGAAAATACTTGAAATCGCTCAATGTTTTTTCAAGTTTAATAATATATGGGTGCTGTTCAATAGAAAAGGAGTAGATCTCCTTTTTAAATCTGGTCAATTTGACCAGAATTAAAAAAGAAATCTACTCCTTTTCTATTGATCAGCCCCTATATAGAGAAATAGCCAAAAGTCAAAGCTACTAGTACTAAACTTGCAGTTAAACGAAAAGAAGAAAAGTATTAGAATTGACAGGTGCCTACTTGAAGTAGTTGGCAAAGGTGATTTAACAAGACTCCTTGGGTCTGGCTAAGTACAAAAGTCAATAAGAAATTGGTAGTAAAGAAAGTCAAAGATATAGTAAGGCACTTTACTAGAACAATGCAAGCCAAGAGCCTTTCAATTAGTTAGCTTATATACATAAACAATATGTGTATCATACCAAAACTCATATATATGTTGTAGACAACCAAGGTTTTGCATGTTGGCCTTACAAGAATCTATCAGCCAATAGTAAAGTTAATCAAGCATAAAATTAGGCTTCTAGCCACAGCAGGTAATTACCTGATATCATACCCAGAAATAGGAAAATGCAAGTTGTTGTATTACAAAGTTTTCTCCTGACAACTTGTTGGACTTCAGGTACAATTAAATAGTAAAGATCAAGTTGAAAATATTATCAAACTCCGTATAGCAGAAGGTTTTTTATTGGCAAGGTTAGTAGCCAAAAAATGGTAGCTAGAAAACATAGAAATGCTAGAGAAAATCTGGAAACACAATCTGGCAGGCCTAGTTATAGCAAAAGCAAGTAAACAGGGGAATAATGTTACAAAGAAACAATGAAATATAGCAAGTACACAGATATAAACCAACAATATATGAAGTATTAGATAGAAAGACATTTTTAAAATACTATAGTGAGATTAAAAAGTATAATATTTACTATATCAGATAGCTATTTGATCAAGAAGGTTGCAAGTTAATTACATGAAGAAAACTTAAACTGCTAAGAGCCAGATCACAGAAAGGTTGTAAGTCCAAATGGTTTGAGGAAATTAAAGCAAAAATACTTCAAAATAATGAAAATAGAACAGTTAGAGCTGAACTTCAAATACAAGATAAAACAGTATATTAATAAAAGTACATTTAGAGCAGTTATCTGAGAATAAAAAAAAATGTGAATGGGTGTTTGTTAATAAGGAAAATGATGAGACAATAGTCAGTAAAATCAGCAAGAAGTAAAAGACCAAAGTTTTAATTGATCATTGGGTTAATCAGAATAGGTTAAAAAATTCTCCAACCCTAGTTGGATATAGAAGTTGTAAGCTAAACTATCAAGTAAGTAGCAACATTTGTCAACAGTAGATAAAGAAAAAGAGAGTGCTAGGAGTCCTATCCTATAGTAATCAAGACAAAGCTATGATAAAACCACTAGTGTTAGAAGAAGTGATAAAATACAAAGTAAATACCAAGAAAATGGTAGTAAGTAGTACAGAAGAAGAAGTTGCAAGTATAGTAATTCCTAAAACATATGAGAAAAGTTTAATCAAACAACAAGGTTTTGATATAGTACTAAAAAGCAAATTGATTGAACAACTAGAAACAAACTTTAAAGTAGGATCTGAAGAATACCTTTTTTATATAGATGGTTTAGTAATTAAGTGATTAACAGAATGCAAAATAGGTGCAGGATAGCTGCAAGTAAGCTATGATGAGGAGGATATACTGGTAGAAGAGTATATTAGGATAAGATATTAGCCATCATCAACAAAAGCAAAGTTGGTAGCAGTGTGGATAGCACTACTAACAGTAGGTAGTAATAGTAAGGTAGAAATTAGACTAGATAGTGCAGCTACAATTGCAAGCCTAACAAACAATTTACTGCTTGAAATGAGCAAAACATAGGGGCGAAGGCCAAATGCAAGTCTGGTAATGAAAATAAGAGATTTGTGCAAGTCTAAAGGTATAGACCTCAAATTAACTAAGATGAAGGCTCATAGTAATATAAAATGGAATAAAAAGGCAGACCAGCTTGCAAAGCAAGGAGCTGAAGCAAGCCAGATATCAAAGCTAGAACTCAAGAAGAATTGTCGTTTCAAGTATGCTCTATACTTGAATAGAATATATGCAGAAATGCCAACAAGGAAGATTATCAAGATCATAAATAATATGCAAATAGAGGCAGAGTGGCAATGGTTATATGCAGTGAAGACCAAAGAACCTGAAGTAGTGTTTAAACGAAGTTGGAAATGGTTTTGGCACCATAACAAGAAGCTTACGGGAATTAAGTGTAAAACATATAAGATAAACAGAAGAATTACATTCAGATTGAAGTATATTAGCCAAAATATTCCAGTACTGTCGAATCTATGGAGAAGAAAACCAGAAATATACATAGATAATAGGTGTATCTCATGTGGAAAAGAAGAAGAAATTCCATCTCACCTAGCCAAGTGCAAGAGATTAGAGGGGTACTGATAATGTTAAAGATGTAGTGTTACTGTTGGTGTAGAAAAGCCTCAAACATCATATTAGGAAAATTATTTCAGTAGACAAGTTGAAGAAAGTTATTGTTGGTAAAAGTTACACAGTATGAAGTTCGAAAAGAGATGACTATGTAGGTGATCTAGTACACGAAGAAGTATTAGCTATATTAGATAACATGGGTCTTGCAAGAAAAATATATAACCAAATAATTCATGACTACATCCATGTTGTGGAAATGAGTTTTCAAGATGAAATATGGCAGAAATGCTACAAGGCAGTAGCCAAATAGGAGAAAAAGAATAGAATAACCAGTATGCAAAAGCATAGTAAACTGAGAAGTCCTGGCCTAGTAAATGTAAGAGGTAGAGCAAAGAGGAAAAAAATAAAAACTTGTAGTATGATAAGGGAGGAAAGCAAAACAAGCAATATTGAGGAGTTGTTAAAAAAAGAGCAATGAAGAGAAAAAGAAGCCAAAGTTAACAAGCTAGTTAGAGAAGTATTAGATGAAGTAATAAGAAGTGAGGAAACCTCCTTTTGGTTTAGTTTTTGACAGAGCTAACAAAGTCCCCTGGTTCAATAAAGAACCAGTATGACAGGTTGTATCTAGGCACTTAATATAGTAGCCGGATGATATTGGGTTTGCAATTTTAAAATTAGAGTTTTTATTAGAGTAGCTTTTCTTTTACTGTAATAAGATAATTTTGTATTTGAGCTCTGACAAGACTGTCTAAAAAATAAAAAAAAAATATAACCTCTGTTAGAATTTTAAAATTTCTTATCTAGTTTAATACTCGCATCTCTATTAGTATTATCCGGGTCCTGATTTACTATAACCCTGTTTTGCAAATTACCAAACAATAACAAAATAGCAAAACAAAACAAACAGGTATAGACAATATGATCTGTACAAACAAGTAAACAAATATAAGTAGACAAACAAATAACAAAATATCAAACAATAATCAAACAAATACATAGCAAAAAAAGTAAACAAACATATAAGATGTTAGATCTTCTAAATTATAAAAACTTCTTCAATAAACCCAAAAAAGAAAAAATAGCATTATTCAAAAAGCAAAATACAATGATTCTAGAAGAAAACAGAAAAATGACAAAGTTCTTAAAAGCTAAAGATATTTATTTATTTTTTTTTTAACTAAGCAGTCCTGCTTTTATTTATTTGAACTACTATGTAACTAACATACGTTTGTACAAAGTTTCTATAGTATAATGTTCTAGTC